TAGGTAGTTACCAACCCACCCAGGACTCTCAGCAACAAAGCTCCTTTCCTGGTGTTTTTGTTTTTCTTAATACAAGGTTGTATGTATTCCAGGCTGGCCTCAAACTCTATGTAACTATGTAACCCAGGCTGGCCTTAAACTCTCTATGCAACTGTGCCAGTTGGTTCTTGCCAATTGGATACAAACTAGAGTCACTCGGAAAGGGGACCCTCGACTGAGGAATACTGCCATCCGATTGGCCTGTGGACACTTCCATGGGCATTTTCTTGATTAATGATTGACGTGGGAAGGCTCAGCCCACTGTGGATGCTGCCACTCTGGGCAGGTAGTTCTAGGGTATGTAAGGAAGCAAGCGTCACAAGCCATGAAGAGCAAACCAGTGAATAGTGTTCCTCTGTGGCCCTTGCTACAGTTTCTGACTCAAAGTCCTGCCTTGGCTTCCCTCAGTGCAATCTGTAAACCAAACAAAACCCTTCCTCCCCATGTTACTTTTGGTCAATTTCTTTTTCACAACAACAGAGAACCCAACTAGAACAGTAGCTAAGGGTGACTTTGGACCCCTCATCCTCCTCTGGACCCCACTTAGGTCTCTGTCAATGGCTACTTTCTCAGGACACATCTTCCATTTCTCCCATCACCATCAGGACCCCTTTCTCAGCTCATAGAGTCTTTGAACATTTGCATACATTCTCTCCTGGAATTCCAAGCTCACTGCACAAGCCCTCTGGAGATCTGGAGGCTGTTATTCTCCTGATGTCTGCATTCATGCCTGGGTAACTCCTGGCCTGACCCACTAGGCAAAGACTCATTTCTTCCTCGTCTACGCTCTCACTTCATGCCAACAGCCTAATTCCATCTTATATAAAAGCCTCTCTGCGGCTGACACATCTCTCCCTGTGGCCTGTAATAAGCTCTTCAAGGCGGCATCTAGATTCTAATTATCTCAGTTCAACGTCCCTCCATGAGGGCTGAGTGGTAGGGCTGACACAGGCCGGCCAAGGGAAGACCCCTTGCTGCCTGTGGCAGTGAAGGAATTTTTGTGCCAAGCAGCCCGCCGTGCCTGCCTCCTCTCAGAGGTCTGTGTCTCTAGCAGGGTCACCTGGAAAAGAGAACTTGGCCTGTGCAGGTGGCACATTCTGTGCTATGTAATAATATCCCAAGAGAAGCTAGGACGTCAGTCACCCTGCACATAATTCAAGCGCACGGCTCACCTGCATATAGCAAGCTAGCTGCAGAGTGGGCATTTTAATGGCAAATGACATAAAGGTTCATTCTATTAAGATCCTGAGACCCCCCCCCCGAGTCGTGATGGGAATATCAGATGGTGGGGTTGGTACTCACAGCACTCTGAGCTCAGCTCTGCACTGACTGGCTGGGGAGGGGTTCTTTTCAAACGGAACAGAGCTCAGCCATCAGAGGGAGGGTGCTGTTCGATTTTCTATCTAACCTCCTTCTCACCCGACCCCTCTCCACACAAGGAGGAGGTGATTTTCTTTCAAGCTTTATCCTCAATCGTCCCTGTGGCGAGACAGGGGTTGGGTATTAGGATTCTTAATGGTTTTGTCCGAGGCCATCTGAAATGAAGCTGAAATGTCAGTATCTCAGGCGAGCGGTGGATGAAGTGCTTGGTAACTGGAAATGAACTTGAGCACGATGAGGCTCACGGTCCCCAGTGATAAGCTGGAATGGCAGAGGGACTCTGGCTCTCCCCGGAGAAGACAGGACTGCTCACAACCCTCCCAAAACATGGCTCTTCCAAAGTGTGTCAGTGTGTTTTGTTTCCGCAGCACATTGCTCTTTCCACTGTTTCTGCATGATTTGATTAAGCAAATATTTATTTACACGTGTATGAATACATCACATGCATACAGAAGGAGAGAGCATTCTGTTCCCCCTTTGGAGACTATCCCTCACAGCTTCATCTCCAAAGCCCAAGACGTTGCGGTTTTTAGTGCATCTCAGGTGGAGCTGAGCTGTGGCGTGCAGTCTACAGTGACTAATTTCACTGCGCTTTACATCCCATCCACAAGGCTGTGGGAAGCAACAGAGGTGTGCTTCATGCATTCCAAACCCGACAGACACCACCTCACAGGGCCTCACCTGCCCTCACACGGCTCAGGTCCCAGCTTTCCATTCCTGGAGACCCCTGAGCATAGCCATGTCCGAGGCTCATTAAGGCCTTCTAGGATGAAAAGGCCTTTGATTATTCAGAGCGGTGGGTCCTTGGGGAGGCCCAATGCACAACGGCACTCACCTGATTCTCGGAGTTATATTGTGTGTGCTGCCTGAGGGAGAAATTAGCAGAGGCACAAAGCTCAGGTGTCATCACTCACGCTTCCTCCTCCTCTGCCGGCTGCCTTCAAATGCATGGCGGAGCTTTTTCTTTTCAATTTGTTTCTTTTATTTTGTCCCTGGCTAGTGCTAAAGACTCTTTCCCATCTCATCTATTCCCATCTGTTTTCTGTGTATATGACTTCTGTACTTAATAGCATCATTGTTATCTCAGATGCAACCAGGCAACCATTTCTACGCTTACCTGCCACACACACACACACACACACACACACACACACACACACACACACACACACACACACTTATTTGTTTCTGTTAACCCAACAGCAAACCCCTCACTTCTTCCTGGTCAGGGGCCAGCCAGCTCTACCTCCTGTGTGATAATAAACCATTCAGGCCCCAGAAATCTCTTATTAAACAGAGTTGAATGGTTGAGCAGGGTGGCTCACATCTGGAGGACAGTTGAGAGTTCAAAACCAGTGGTGACACTGTTTCAAAAACAACAGACGAGGCCACTGAGTCCCAGAAAATATGAGTCCGTTCCTTAAGGAAACAAACCTGGTCACGCCTCTGTGCTCATTTTTCTCATCCCTGACTCAGGGAGGACTCAGAGGGGTTCATTCCATCCTTCCTTGGCTCAAGTGCTAGCCAAGCAGGGTCTTCAGATCTTCTTGGAGAAGAGCATGTTTCCCTAATACCAAATCACCTGACCACCCAACTGTGGTCACCAGTGACAGCCCACACTAACTCCCAGACAGGATTTCATTCAAGTTGGGAAAAGCCTTCCATGAGATAGACCGCTTATTTAAGTTGATAAGGATTTTGATTACAAGAGTAAAGTATGATCTGTAAGAAAAAAATCACACGTAGTCAAGGATACACATCAGAGAAAGAGTGTCTAGTATACACAAGGCCCTTGTCTGAACTGCGCACACACACACACACACACACACACACACACACACACAAAGCTAGAGGAGATGGCACAACCTGACATCCCAGTAGTTGGAAGGCTAAGTCATGTCTTGAGAGTTAAAGGTTAATGTGGGCTACATATCCAAACTGTCTCCAAGAAACAGAGCAAAACAAGCAAACAAGAAAAGCTAAACAATTTTAGAGCATATAAAATATACACAGCGTACAGTAAGAACGTGGAGTGTGTGTATGCTTGCGGTTTCTGCTCTTTGCCCCAGAGATGACCCCTTAGTGATTGTGGTCTTCCATGTGGATGTACAAAGTATGTGTATACAACTGGGAAGTAGTTTTTGCTGAAAAAAAAAGAGGATCCTATTATAACACTACCTTTTTTAAAGTATGGAATTGACAGAGCATAGTAGTTAATTGTAAATAAAAAATTTTAACTTCATCTACTTGGTTCTTCCTGATAGAAATTACAACCCTTCTCATGGATTCCAGCCCATTCTCGAACAGCGTGCACCTTCCCTTATCTGCATTATTTCTGCATCTCATGCATACGTGTACCTTGGGCATGTTTTGTATGGCACTGACTGAGATCTGTTACAACCCTGTTGCTTCCCCTTTTATGGTTCCCTGGGAATGGGATCCTATAGAAATTGTTCATTCTCTAGAATCCCCATGGCCCGTACATCAAGAATTCTAGTGAAAGTTTTTCAAAGTGGCTTGGACTAGTAGGTGCCTTCACCCATCCCCGTTAGCCTCCTCAGCTCTCTCCTGATTGACCCAGCAGCTTGACCCAGAATGGATAGGTCTGAAAGGTGACTTCACCCTTTCCACTCCACAATCACCATGTGAGGTGTGTAGATGTCGGGGTAGGATGCAGGGCGTGGCCTGAGGCGTGCATGTTCATCCAAACTCTCTATTACCTGAAAGGGGGCTGGTGCAGGGCACTGGGAAGAAGCCAGCTGAGCCCGTCTTCTCTGCAAGGCAGGGGGAGGCACAGAGATGGGAAGAGAGATGACAGGGAAAAGACAGACCATTGGTCGTGGGTCAGGAGAACCACCTTGCCGGGCTGTGGTGGTGCACTCGGGAGTCAGAGGCAGGCAGACCTCTGAGTTAAAGGCCAGCCTGGTCTGTCTACAGAGAGAGTTCCAGGACAGCCAAGGCTATACAGAGAAACTCTGTCTTGAAAACAAATGAAGAAGAGCTGCCTGGCAGCGTTACTAGTTGGTTGAAGGTTCTTTTGCTCAGTTCAGACAGAGCTCGTGAGCAAAGTGACAGATTCCCCTAGTGTCCACAGCTCTGTGCCTTCAGAACCAGCTGTCCCCGGCTCCCCGTGTCAGCCTCCCGACCTACCCACCCACCCCCATCACAGCTACCAGTCTTTGGGACCCTTCTACTTGCAGCTCCTAGAAGCTCTCTCCTTTGCTCTCCACTGTGCTGTGGCTCTCCAACTGCTTTGTCAACCCTCAGAATTACCAGCCCTGGCTAGTGGCCCCTGTCTTTAGGGCTACCAGGTAAGTGTAAGTCAACAAAAGAGCCCCGGGGTGCACTCTTCTACTCTGACTAGCCTGGGCCTTCTAGGTTTTAGTCTCCCATCTAGAAAATTGAGCTAATGACATTTGGCTTCTGGAAGGTCAGATAACAGGTTACATGTGGGGGCTCCCTTCACTCTGGAGAGAGTTGCATAGCCTCGGGGTCAAATGCTGTCCCATCACTCTCAAGGGAGGTGTGTCCCCAGCTCACTGTCTAGGCAAGTCTGACTTTAAGTTCTCCTCTGTCCACAGGGCAGTCCTTCTACTCCCGGGTCCTGGAGAACTGTGAAAATGTGGCCGACTTCGATGAGGTAGGATATCTGAGGCCCTGTCCCCTTGCCATCCCAACATCACTCCTCCCTGATCCCAGGGCACATGCTGGCCCTGAACCCTGGGTGGTTAGTTTGCAGCCTGCTTCTCTGAGTGGATTCCTGGGAGGAGGTGGTGGTGGTGGTTGTGGGGGCCTCTGCACAGTGAGTGACAGCTGAGCAACCAGATCCAACTCCAAAGCTGCTGCCAGATCTGGGCCCCTTCGCACCCTGTAGTGAAAATGCCCAGGAGAGCTCTAAACTCAGTTCAAGCCTCGCCAGGGTGTCAGAGGGGTTGCCATCAGGTCTTTCTTCAGTGTCTCATGGTATCCTTGGAGTGACCAGGCCACCAGGACTTCTACAACGCCCATCTCACACAGGATTCACCCTTTCTAAAAGCTTCCTGCTAGGGAACATCGAAAGACGTACACACAGGGGTTTCCCCAAAAGTTTGTCTTTGTCTTGAACTGTAGACTCAGGACCATTGAATGTATAATTCATTTGCTTCAATTTGTGGTGCATCCTGCCTCATTGACCCCTGTAAGGCCCTACTTATGTCTTGTGGTATGTATGTATACATGTGTTTTCTCCCTGAACCCTATTATTTTCCTCACACATCACCATTCTAATGTAGGCAATGAATGCCTTTTGGTGTCCTGTACCTTCTTGCAAAGATTTCGACTGCTGTAAGAATATGTTTGTTTACTTAAATGACAATGTGTTAAATATTTTCTTTTCTATTTTTTCACTGTGTACTGTTTCTAAGTTCCATCTGTGTTACATAGCACTGCTTGGGACACAGCCAACACAGGGTGACCAACCACCTCAGTCTGCCTGGGATGGAGAAGATTCCAGAGAAAATGACTTTCAGTGCTAAAATGGGGGAGGTCCTGGGAAAGCCAGGATGAGTTGGTCACTTGACCTCTCCACCAGGGAGGGTCCCTAGCTCATGGCACTAGAAATACAGAAACAGTCCCCATGCCTGTGCTATATCTGTGTGAGCATCTCTTCAAGATGAGCATCTGTGTGAGTGTCTCCCCAAGATGAGCGTCAGATACAGGAACCTGTGGTTTCCAGGGCTCCCTTCCATACACTTAATATGCCCCAATGCTGCCAGAGCCCATGCAGCAGAGAGTAACACTTCCTGTGCCCACATCCTCGTCTTCAGGTGGGGTTTCCCAGACCCCTGATTGTCACCAGTCCAACAGGGATCTCTTATCCACTCTGTAGATCCCTGATTACTAATGGATTTGAACATCTCTTGATCATGTCTTTTAGTTCCCTCTTTTGCAAATTGTCATATTCCTTGCCATTTTACCAGTTAGGATGTCTGGGTTTTTTTTCCTTGCTGATCTTCTTAGTATTCTGGGTATCAATCTCTGATGATTTTGGATGTTGGAAATGCCTGCTGGGGATGTAGCTCAATTGGCAGAGTATTTGCCGAGTTTGCACACAGCCCCGAGTCAATCCCCAGCACTGTATAAAGCAGACACGGTGGCACACGCCCGTGATGCGGCACCAAAGAGGCAGAAGCAGGAGGATCAAGAAGTTCAGATTTTCCTCAGCTACAACAAGTTCAAAGCCAACCTCAGCCAGATGAGATCCTGTCTAGAATGAAAAAAAAATAGTAGGGTGAGCCGGGCAGTGGTGGCGCACGACTTTAATCCCAGCACTCAGGAGGCAGAGGTAGGCAGATCTCTGTGAGTTTGAAACCAGCCTGGTCTACAGAGTGAGTTCCAGGACAGCCTCCAAAGCCACAGAGAAACCCTGTCTGGTAAAAACAAACAAACAAAAAAGATAGTAGGGGTGGGGGGTGGCGGTGGGTATCGTTTCTCAGTCTATCAACTTTCTATGAGCTAGGTCCAAGGTCAAACTGTTGACTTGTTTATTTCTCCCTGATGTTCTGTTACCTGTGGCTTACTGTATTTTGAAACTGTGTTTTTAGTTGCTATATGTTCATAATAGCTTTCTCTGCTTGTCCCTTTTCTCATTTATTAGCATAAGGTTTCCTCCTTCTTGCCCTCCCATGATGTTTTTGCATTGATGTCTACCTTATTGGATACTAAGGATGCTATCTAGGTATTTGTGGCACACGACTGTAATCTAGTATTTGAGAGACTAAGGCAGGAGGATTACAAGTTTGAAGCCAGTATGGATTGCCCCTCCCTTTCTCTCTCTCTCTCTCTCTCTCTCTCTCTCTCTCTCTCACTCACACACTGCAAATCTCTATTTTTCTAGACTATCTTTTCAATTTCTTATTTTCAATATGTCCATGTTTCAATGAATATTCTTAGGATAAGATTTTTAGATAGTTAGGGCTGAAAGAAGTAAGTTCAAGTCACCGCAGAAATGTGCAAACCCTCACTGGAGTCCGGGTTTCCTCTTGGAAACTCTGAGGAGAAACACCTGTTGGTTGTTTTTTGTTTTGTTTTGTTTTGTTTTGTTTTTACTCTTTGAGCTCTACTCTTTTGGCTCTAGGGTGGGAGTTGCCACACAGCCCCCTCCCAATAATCACACAGAGTCTCAGCTTATTCCTTTGGCTAGTTTTTCTTTTTTCCAGCTACCTTTTGCCTCTGAGCTTTTGTCCTTTTCTTACCTCTGTATACCTTACTTTCACTCTTACTCTGTGAACGGCTGGGTGGTTGGTCCCTAGTGTCCTCCTCTCCACCTTTTCTTGCTCCTTCTTCTTATAGATTTATCTCTTTGTAATTTTTTATTTAATTTTTTTTCATTTTACATACCAACCCAGTTCCCCCTTCCCATGCCTCATCTACTCCTCAGAGGGGGTAAGACCTTCCTTGGGAAGTCAACAAAGTCTGATATATCAAGTTGAGGCAGGACCAAGCCCCTCCTCCCTGTATCAAGACTGAATAAGGTACCCACCACAGGGAGTGGGCTCCCAAAAGCCACTTCATGTCCCTGGGATAGGTCCTGGTCCCACTTCCAGGGGCCACATAACTGTCACCCACATTTAGAGGGCCTAGTTTGGGCCCATGCAGGTTCCCCAGCTGTCAGTCCAGAGCCTGTGAGTTCCCACTAGCTCAGGTCAGCTGTCCCTGTGGTTTTCCCCATCATGCTTGTGACCTCCCTTGTTCATATGACCCCTCCTCCCTCTCTTCAGCTGAACACCGGGAGCTCAGCCCAGTGCTTGGCTGTGGGTCACTGCATCTGCTTCCATCAGTTACTGGGTGTAGGTTCTATGACGACAATTAGGGCAATTATTCATCTGATTAAAGAGGAAGGCTCCTTCAGGAACCCTCTCCACTACTGCTAGGAGTCTTAGCTGGAGTCATCCTTGTGGATCCCTGGGAATTTCTCTAGCACCAGATTTCTCTCTAACCCCCACAATGGCTCCCTCTATCAAGGTATCTCCTTCATTGCTCTCTCCCTCCATCCCTTCCCCAACTTGGCCTTCTCAATCCCTCATGTTCCCATCCACCCATGTCTAGCCCCCTCCCGATTTACCCAGGAAATCTCCCAACTGTACAGACTTCTTCTATTTTCCTCTTTGCCTGCCAGCCCCACCTATCCTTGCTCCTGCCTCGCTATTGGCTGTTCAGCTCTTTATTAGACCATCAGGTGTTTTAGACAAAGAATCACAGCTTCACAGAAGTAAATGCTGCATAAACAAAAGTAACACATCTTTGCATCATTATACAAATGTTCCACGGCATAAACAAAAGTGACACATCTTAAAATAATATTCTACGACAGAATCCTGGCTTCGCCAGAGTAGAGGTGAAAAGGACTCAGCAGGGGCCCAGAGGGCGGCTCATCGGGTCAGTTAACTCTGCGATTCAGCAAGAGACACAGGCTGCTGGCCTATCCACTGGTCACAGTTTTATCATAGATGCAGATGGCATCATGGCAATCTTTTCCTCAGCCTTAGGCCTCATTCTTGCCTGGCTCCTCCCCTCACTCTGCCCCACGCTGGCAGCCTCTAGCCTCAGGTAGCCACCGACCAGCTTAAACAGTCTGAGATATATTCAGGTGTCTGTGTCCTTTTGTCTGTCTGCTTGGATCCAATCCCCCCTCCTGCTACTGTAGTTTTTCCAGAGTTGACTTTGGAGGTAAGAAGCAACAGTCCTTTTTTTTTTTTTTTTTTTTTTTTTTTTGAGACAGGGTTTATCTGCATTGTTTTGGAGGCTGTCCTGGAACTCACAGAGATCCGCCTGCCTCTGCGTCCCAAGTGCTGGGATTAAAAGCATGTGCCACCAACACCCGGCAGAGAAGCAACAGTCTTATGTCACCATTTTGACCTAAACCAAAAGTTTAGTGTAACCCCGCCCCCCCAGATCCAACTGAACCATCAGGCTGAGGGGTCACCCAATCCAGTTATTTTTCCTCTTCCTGGGCCAAGGCTGTATGGCATAGCTGGGGGTTCAGACCCAGAGCTAGAGATAGAAGTCAACCCTCAAGTCCACTGCCTCCCTGCTCAGTGTGTCACTTTGTCCCTGGGACAGCTGGGCTCATCACCAATACTCTGCGTGCGTGTGTGCGTGTGGTGTGTGTGGTGTGTGTGTCTTTGTGTATGTATGAGAGTGTGTGTGTGTCTGTGTGTGGTCTGTGTGTGTGGTGTGTGTGTGTGTCTGTGTGTGAGAGTGTGTGTGTCTGTGTGTTTGAATGAGTGTGTCTGTGTGTGTCTGTGTGTGTGAGAGAGAGTGTGTGTCTGTGTGTGTCTCTGTGTGTGTGTCTGTGTGTGTATGTTTGAATGAGTGTGTCTGTGTGTTTGAATGAGTGTGTCTGTGTGTGTGTCTGTGTGTGTGTGAGAGAGTGTGTGTCTCTGTGTGTGTGTCTGTGTGTGTGAGAGTGTGCGTGTCTCTGTGTGTGTGCATCTGTGTGTGTCTGTGTGTGTGTGTATGTGTGTGTGTGAGAGAGAGTGTGTGTGTGTGTCTGTGTGTTTGAATGTGTGTGTCTCTGTGTGTGTGTCTGTGTGTATGTATGTGTGTGTGTGTGTGTGTGTGTGTGTGTGGCGGGGTTTAGTCTTGTTTTCTCTGTCTCCT